AGTGTACAATAAAATAAAATATATATCAAGCAAATGGCGTCGTTTTTGGCCCCCAATTGAAAAAAAAAATAAAACAAAATGCTACAGTAAAGATGAATCAACACACTGTTGTTTTCTACAGTGCTCTCACATTCCCCTTTTTATATAGTAGGGATATATTTTCTATTTTGGAGTGAACTGATTTTTGTAATTTTGTGAAATGATTCTCATTTCTCAAAATTTAACGTCAATTATATGAATTATCAAATTGTTCTAATAAATATATGTCCATTTTACTATAGTTTGATATCTAATATCGCGCATGAACAATATTACAATTAAATAATTGACCAAAGTATACTTTAACATATGAGTAAATCAACCATAACTATACTAATTCACACAAAATATTATAACATATACTCATTTGTAAAAAAAATAATATATATATATATATATATATATATAAGTTAAAAATTTGAAGAAAAAAGAATTTTAATTTTTATTGTTCACATTATAATTTTTTTTTTCAATTTATAATTCTTTTCTCTTAATAATTTCAAACAGAAACTTAGATTTGAGAATTTTTTCTATGTAGTTTTACGTTATAAATAATAGTTTTTTCAATTTAGAATTCTTTTTAATTTTTTTCTTCAATTTTTTTATTATTAATCAGTATTTTTTTAATAGTTTAAGATAAAATTTAATTTTCTAGTAATAATTCAATATATAAAATGATGAAAAAAACATATTAACTCCGTGCATGAAGAAAAAAATTCCGTTATACCACATAATTTTTTTGGGTAAAATGATGCATTAAGAAAATTGTTGCGAAGAAAGAATAAATAGCAATAAAATAATTGATTTTTAAAAAAAAATGACGTATACGTATTTTTAACACATACGTTTAATCTCCGTTTAACTATTTTCGATATTTATTTAAATCATCTGATATATCTACGATATAGCTCTCAAAATGAGTTTCGAGAGAATATAAAACATTTATCGATTCGACTATCGTACAATCGTCGACGAATTTTTAAAGTTAGCTTGTTATCGAAAATTTTGAAATACTAATAAAATAATTGATTTTTTTAAAAAAAAACGGCTTATGCGTATTTTTTAACACATACGTTTAATGTCCGTTTAACTATTTTTTATATCTATTTAGATCATTCGATATCTCTACAATATAGATCTCCAAATGAGCTTTAAGAGAAAGTAAAACATTTATCAATTCGACTATCGTACAATCGTCGATGAATTTTTAAAGTTAACTTGTTATCGAAAATTTCGAAATATAGTTTGAAAATGCCTATTTTGACGTCCCATAACATTTGCTAGGATTGACCGTTTCACGCACCGTTAACGACGTGCAATACTATGCCGCGAGTACTTCAAAACTATATTAAGAATGTAATATTTCGATTTCGTTTGATATCCCGTAATGAGTCTGAAAATCAACACAAAAACATAAGTATAAAAAAATAAAATAAAATAAAAAATTATTCATGGTCCCCGTGCACGGAGCCTTCCAAATTTTTTTATTTTTATTTTATTTCCTCCTCCATGCACGGAGACATTAGTCTCCGATGGAGACTAATGTCTCTGTGCACGGAGGCTTTTGCTCCATGTACGGAGAGATTATATATGTATATATTTTTTTGTGTGCTGTAGTTTTACGTTATACATTTATTTAAAAATGTAAAATTCTCTTTAATTCTTTTTTCTTCAAATTTTTTACCTACAAATAATATGTTGTAAAAAAATTTCTGTCGCATATTATCTCTATCTTTTTTTTATATATATATACAAAAGTGATTTTTTTCTTATATCCCTACTATATATATATCTATATCGGAGTGGGGGAGGAATGGAAATTGCGTGTTGCAGTAAATTTGGAGGTAGTGTACAATAAAATAAAATATATATCAAGCAAATGGCGTCGTTTTTGGCCCCCAATTAAAAAAAAAAAAAAAAAAAAGCTACAGTAAAGATAGATCAAGACACTGTTACTTTCTACAGTGCCTTCACATTCCCCTTTTTTATATAGTAGGGATAAGGATTTGATGTCATAACTATATGTAACCAAAACATTTAGGATCGTAATTTTGAATCGAATCTATGAAGGAATCTTCTGGATTGCATTTGATACGATCTATAAAATATTAAAATTTAGATAAATGTTAAAATAATTAATAAACAATAAAATGAAAATGATTATTAATTATTTAAAATATTCTTTACGAATTAAATACATATATATTTATAATTAGTTTAATAAATTCTAAAATTAAAAGCAAAATTTGACCGACCAATTTTTATTCTCATTTGATTTTCCCTCCCTTTCGAGTTTTCCCTTCCCACCAACTTTTCCATTCTCTCTAAAGTATCCAATTCCCAATTATTTTCACAGCCACAACCCACAGCTACCCAACCCTGTTGCAAAAGAGTTGAGATCATTTGTCCAATTTTTTGTTTACCAATTTGTCATATATTCAATTAATTATTGGCACATCATTTTAAATTAATATGTTCAATATTTCTCTAACTACACCTTATACATAAAAATAGGTGGCATTTTAATGTAAAATAATTAGTGGTTAGCAAATTGGACAACAAAAATTGAAAAACAAATCTAACTCATTGCGAAAACCTCTATTTTCGTTATTCTCCATAGCCTCCATTTTGAATTTTTGGAACTCCACGTTATGATTGGATAAAACTCTCGAACCGAATCGGACCGAACCAGATCCGATTCAAACAGGATTGAACTTAGCATTCTTCTTAAGTTAAGTACTCAAATATGTATCTGAAACAAGAAACTCTAGACCAAGAACCAAATAAAGACTGAATCTTTCTAATTTTGAAATTTATTTATATTAAATAAGACAAATTATTTTATTTTTATCTAAATAAATTTGCTAACAAATTAATTTAACCCAAACCCTAAATATGATTTTCATATTTCTAATTTCCACCCCAAACCCAATTTAATCAAATTGACATAAGTTTTACCAATATCTATCATTTTACCGTAGTGCCGTTTCCATATTTATGGAGCAATTAAATTGGAAGCCCGACTATGCCTCTCTTTATCATTGTGAGCCCGTTACATTTCTCTTCTCATGATTCTAACAATCAAATCTATGAAACACTAAACAAAGAGAGGTGCAAAAGATATATAAGATTAGACTACGTTATTTAATAAGAATTAAGATTAAAAATATCATTAGTTGAATTAATGTAGTTGTATTTTAGATATTCAAAAATTTAACTAGTGTATAGAGCCCTAGACTAAATGGAATCAAACCGACTTGAATCAAATAAAATAGAACCCGAACGGTTGTATAATTAAATTTGGACCCACCAGTTCCACTTATTAAAACCTTGAAAATTCGATCGAATCCAAATTGGGCCATGTCCATCGATACTCCACATATCAACAAATACTAAAATTTATACACAAAAATCCAACCACCCATATGGAATCCATTGCTTCCATGTACTTCTCTTCTTCTATCCCAATTTTCTCCCTAAATGCAAAGATTCTTCTATCCATTGCCTCATCCGCTTCCCCGTCTCTCCTTAGTTCCCCAATTTTGCCGTTTTGATTTCACCCCTGTTTTTATTATTTTAGTTGCTAATACTTTTTTAACATTTTCCTTTTCAAATGATGAGAGTGGACCCTATTTCAAACCGAACTCCACAGAGTCCAGCCTCGTTACCATCCTCAGCAATCTTACTCTCTTGGGTATTTGGAAGTTAATTTACCAACGATTTGTATAGTTTTAGAGATCGTTAGGTTATTTTTTCGTTTGGTATTTAGAATTTAATTGGTGAGTTGTATAAGTTTTTTGAAGATACAAGGATGATTTCAACTGGACATTTATAATTTAATTAGTAATTTGTATGAATTTTGAAGATACAATGATCATCCTGTATATGATATCAATAATATAACCGGTGTACTTCTTGATTATATCTTGATGAGTGTATTTCACTCATACTTTAGGTACCATTTAAACTTGATATTTAGCTTATTCTTATGAATTTTAGAGCGTTTTAATGTGTTTTTTGATGTTGTGGTATAGGTTGATTTGATTGAAGGAAATAAGCAAAAAAGTTGACAAAATTGGATAAAATGGCTAAGTTGTAAGAGATCAAAATTTCGGGGACCAATACTTAAACACTCAAAAGTTTTGTTGAACTTCATGATGAAGATTTGAGAATGTATAGATAATAATGAATCAAATCATCGAGTCTCAAAATTTGAAAATTATATATCGGTATTTAGAACTCATTAGATGACTTTAGACCCGTCTTAGAGTTCTAAATATTTTTGTCCAATCATTACCTAAATCCTAAATACATAGAGGGAAGCAAAAAAAAAAAAAAAAAAAAAAAAAAAAAAAAAAAATAAATATTTTTCTCCTATCATTACTTAAATCCTAAATACACAGAAAAGGAAAAAAAAAACGTAGAATTGATTAATTAAAAGTGTTCATTTATTATTGTTGTTTGGGTAATTGCTTGAATCCCAAATAATCAGACCCGGGCAGTCAAATTCTGCTCGTTTCATTTAATTAATTAAAAAAAAAAAAAAGAATCACAAATAATTATCACCGAAATTGTGAATTATTTAATGACTGATTTTTTTTATTTTATTATTATTATAAAACAGAACTTTCTTCTTCCTTCCCTTCCTTCATTTCTGGTATTAAAAACAGAACTTCTTTCCCTCCGAAGTCCTCTCGTTCTTCCGATTCCACGTCAGACAATTATTCCATATGAACAACCAATCAGGAAATCATATTCTATACACGATATCCAATTCTATGTGTACTTATAAACAGAGATGCATGGAAAGTGTAATGACCTAACTCTATCAGAATAGTAATCCTCTTCTAACTCTATCCATCTATCTCTCTCCATATATAATACTCCTAATCAATACAATATCTCTGCGTTTAATTCTACTATTACTTCCAGAAACAATTGACAAAGGCAAACACGTTGTCATGGGCGCACAAGAAGGTTCTACTTTTCATGTTGAAGAAAATATTCCGCCCGGTTACCGATTCAAGCCGACCGACAAGGAACTGTTACACTACTTGAACCTCAGGATTCTGAATAAACATATATCGAGTGATGCCATAAAAGATGTTGATCTCTACAAGTACCATCCGAACGATCTTTGCCGTAAGATTATTTATTTCGTTGTTTCTTGATGGTTCTTTTAATATTATCTCCATCGGTTATCATTTATATTTACGTTCTTTGAAATTTATTAATGTGATTGTCAGAAAGCGGGACGAATGGAACACATGAGGGCTACTTTTTTACTTTTAGAACAAGGAAGTATCATAAAGGTGATCGGCCGGACCGAACAGCAGCTGATGGGTACTGGAAAGCCACCGGAGGCGACATCATTGTCCAAAGCAATGGCCAAGAAGTTGGACGGAAAAAGGTGCTTGTCTATTATGAAAGGAAATCTGATAATAACAACAAAGGAACGAAGACTAACTGGATAATGCACGAGTTTACGATTCATCAGATGAAGGACGTCGCATGTTCTTCTACAAATGCAATTCCAGATGACAAGACGGTATGTAAAAGTTTTCATATTATTTGGTCAATTAATTGCATTCGTTTAAGTGAGTGGAAAATTAAAGTCGCAATAAATTGAAACTTCTTACGATAGTTTCAAGAATAAACCAAATCTATAAATCAAACACTTTAAAAGGAGTATTTAAAAAAGTAAATTTGAAAAAAGTATAATTAAATAACAGGAAAAAGGTAAAATTAAATAACGGCATAATAATTAAGTCAAACTCCAGTCTTGGCATGTAGTTCCTTCCATACGAATACTGTAACGATAGATCGGTAGAAAAATAAAATAAAATAAAATAATAATAATAATAATAATAAATTAGAGAGTTGGAGGAAGCAAAATGGTACAGGTCCCAAATTTAGACAACATGTTCACTAAAATTATATACTGTAATTGCATGGATGCGTTCAAGTAATAAAGCGGACTTGTAAGTCCGAGTATCGAAACCTCAAGGAGTCTTTTTTTTTTTTTTTTAATTACACAATTATTGACTCAATTTTAATTAAATGAGAAAAGGATAAGAAAATGGATTTGAAGATCTATTAAAAAAACAATTATGAAAGAGAAGGAATTTTGGTTTATAAATGAGTTGGAATTTACGATGTCAATTAACCGTTGTTTCTTTAATATCTCAATAAATCAAAAATGCAAACTACCAAGTTGCAATGTTAGACCCCCCCCCCCCTTCTAAGTTTATTTAATTCCTTTCTCGAGCGAATTTATCCTCAATCGATTGGTTTTACCCACTATATCTTTATTTTGATAAAAATTCAACCAATCACATTAAATCTGTAATGAATATATCTCAATTGGCCATCTAGGGTTTGAAGTATATATCTATCTCCTAAAACTACCTACATCATTAATTATTTTGGTCAAGAATACACAACAATCTCTCAATAATTGCACAAATCACCAATTGGCCACATGCATGAAAATTGAAGCAAAATAATAAATGCACAATAACAATAGTAATTAAAGTATTAAATGATGAATATTGACATTAATGAAACTTGGGTTGAGTTACACCATAACTCTCATCATTAAACACTTAGCCAACTGCAAAATAGAAGCATAAAAAGGAAACAAAGAAAGAACCCATTGCAAAATGAAGAAGAAAATATAAAAATACAAGATAGTAGAAGAAAACCGTTCCACGAATATATTCTTAAAGATATGAGGGATTGACGAAATCTTAATATTCCTTTCAAACTCCCAAATTTTGATAGATATTCTCTCTTTCTTCTTGATTCTTCTCTCCTTGAATATTTTTTTAAGTGTTCTTCTATGAGTATTGCCCAAAGAGTGACAAATAATGGTATATGAATGGCCAAAAATTGCCTTAGGTGAAATTGTAAAGGAAGTCCCAAAATTTATGAGAAAAAAGCAAAATTGGCTAGCCAAAAGATGGCACGCGACACCGTGAGGCCATTTTGGTCTAGGTAAATCAAATAGCATTCCCACGTGCACCTTCTAATTGTGAGTTCAATTTACTTCAAGAAGCATATTGTCGTAATGAGTATCTGGTATATTTTAGTATACTCGTTAATTCTCAACCTTTAATTGAGTTTTTTTCTCACAGATTTAGGGGAAGAAGTAAAGAAAAAAAGATATGAAAGTACAGAGACTCCAGTTTGTGGTAGGCCTCGGCGGCTCCGGTGGACGGTTGGCTAGGGAAAGATTTGGGGTTAAAAGGATTTGGAAATTTCAAATTTGGTTTTCAATATGAGACAATTTCTCGAATTGACGGTGGGCTGAAGAAAAGAAAGGATGGAAGATAGATGGCTCACGTTGAAGTAGATAAATGATGAAAGATGGGTTGGTCTTATATTTGGGCTTTAAAAAAAGAAAAAAAAAATAGTTGGGTCAAAAAATTAAAACCGAAATTGGTTTTGCAATTTGAGCCGGGATAGCCAAGTAATTTTGTTATTGGTGGGTTATAGACTACATTTAAGACATTTATTCATGGAAGAATTTCATATATGAGATTAAGTATGACCAATTTCAAAAATAAGAAATAAAGTTTAAAACTTTAGAAATTAGATATTAATTAAATTTTATTGATGAAATTATTAATTAAAAATACATTTTATTAATAAAATTACTAAGTTCACAATTTTATTCAATTTGATCACAAATTATCAAATTAATCATTTGCAGATTATTGCTAAGTCTCAAATTTAAAAAATAAATAAATTTATAGGTCATAAATAATTTCACAATCACAAATTAAAAATTATATAGGTCACAATTTATTAGTGTTCAAAACAACGTAAAGTGTGGCTAGGCGTAGAGACAAAGGTTCAATCTTTACGAGTTTAAATGAGTCTAGACGAGGTTTAGTGGTAAAAAAGTGTTTTCTTATTTTTAATATTATTTTGACTTTAATCATTTTTAATTATTTAATTATTAAAATAATATATATCAAACATCTAAAATTATAAAATCCTACAATTAGTAAGTTATACAATTTTTAAGTTTTCGAAATGCAAAAAATTGACTATTTTTTATAGTTTCAATTTTCATTTAGACAAATCCTATTTAATAAATTTATAGGAACTTCATATATGTTTTTGAAGTTTTCAACAAAATAAGCAGTCTCAAAATCCTAATGACATAATGTAGATAGCACCGTATCATAAATCTTATTTAACTAATTAGATAAAGTCATTTTTAAATTTTGTACAGATAATATCTTTTAAAAACTTGGAATTAAATTCAAAAGAATTTTTTTAAACAAAATAATAATAAACTGAAGTACAATAAAAGACTCCGAAAAAAGGGAAAAATAAAAAATTAATAAAACATACCTAGGTAAGACAAACGAGAGGATGGAAAAAATTCAGCTATTCAGCATTGAAAAGAAGCGTATGGTCACAAAGCGAGTCGTTTTGCTCGATTTAACCAATTTATTGGCCACAATTAACTAAATAATTAGTCACAAACACTCTCATGGCCCATCCCATTCTCATTCCACCCTACAACCACTGCCACAATCACCACACCTCACCAGTACTAACAACATCATCACCATCGCAACCAACATCAAAACCACCACCCAAAAATCTCATTCAAAATTATCGAAGGCACCACATGACCAACACAACCACAAAACCACCTCAAAAACCACAACTACCACAACCAATCTCGATACATTCGTATATCAATGACCTCATAGGACTGACTTTACCTGCATTACACAACAAGGATAAGTATCATTGTCACTGTACTCAACAAAGATAAATTAATTAGCAACTCACAGTGGCATAGATCGAGTCATGCACAATAGCAGTTGTGCAATGCTAATATCACCAATATCGTCAATATTTTGTTACATCAACGAAAGTACCTTCATCATATTTGTCCAATTTTATGGATGTACTCATAGGAGTGTTCATTGGCTTCAAGTCATCCATTTCAGACCTCTTTAGCATATACAATATATACTTACTTTCATTGAAGAATATCCCATCACTAGTTTGCTTGATTTGGAGACCAAGGAAGAATTTAAGTTCTTCCATCATGCTCATTTTAAATTCCATGCTCACGCAATTTGAAAACTCTTCATAAAGATAGATATTAGTTGTAATAAATATAATATCATCAATATAAATTTGAACAACAATCATATCATTTTTTTTGAGTTTTGATGAAAAGGGGAGTATCCGCTTTTCCTATTGAAAACCCATTTGAAAGTATAAATTTGTTCAATCTTTCATACCAAACTCTAGGAGCTTGTTTTAAGTCATAAAGAGTCTTTCTAAGTTTAAAAATATAGTACGGATACTTGTAATCTTTAAAATAGGGGGTTGTCCAACAAAGACTTCTTCTTGAATAAAGCCGTTTAGAAATTTTGACATCCATTGGATAAAGAGTGAATCCTTTATGATAAACAAATCTAAGAAGCACGTGAATAGATTCTAATCTAGCTGTCGGTGTAAAGGTTTCCTCAAAATTGGTACATTCTTCTTGATTACAACCTTGGGCTACCAATTTAGCCTTATTAGCACAATTATCCCATTTTTATCTTGTTTATTTCTAAAAACCCATTTTGCGCCATGAAATTTTGATAATTTGGTCTAGTAACTAAATCTCAAATATGATTTCTTTTAAATTGATTTAGTTTTCATGCTTAGCTAGAATCCAAAATTCATCAAACTATACCTCTTTGAAATTTTTTTGTTCAATTTGGGAAATAAAGCACAACTGTTTAGATGATTTCTAGCAAAAGCTCTTGCGGTAATACCTTTGGATGGATCACCAATAATTAGTTCTTTCGGACGAGAATGAATAAGCCTTGATAATTTTGGTAGAGAATGATCATTTTGTATATCATTAGGTTCTACTTCTCTTTGTTAAATGTTTGCTTTGTACTTGTGTTCATATTTTGGATCTTCTTTATTTTGGTCTTGAATAATCATTTGCTCGAAAGGAATTTCCAAACCTGCATCATTAGCAATACCTTTCTCACGATCAAGGGGGTTAGTTTTATTAAAAATGACATGCATAGATTCTTCAACGACTAGAGTTCTTTTGCTAAAGGCTCTATGAGCATTGCTAGTCGAGAAATATTCTAAAGAGATTCCAATATCGGATGTATCAAATTTTTCCAAATTTTCTTGTGTTCAAAGTAAGGCATTTGCAACCAATAAACTTGAAATGACTAATATTTGGAATTAAGATTTCTCCAAAGCTCATAGGGGATTTTAGCTTTCTTTCGACTAATTAAAGTTCTATTAATAATATAGCAAGCAGTGTTAATGCCTTCGATCCAAAAGTATTTTGGCATGCTATTTTCATTTAGCATGGTTGATAAGTATATTTTATACACTTATTTGGACATAAAAATATAGGCATTTAATAATTTTCTAAGCAAATTTATTGTATATTTCATTTATTAGGTAAAACTCGATAATTGGAAGTGAATTGAAAGAAAGAAGTGAAAAATGGCGAAAATGGTGAAGTATAAAGTTTGAGGACAAAATTTAAATATC